TACAGAATAACTGAGCCTGGAGAGGCTTGCCGAAATAATACTCCCCAGAGACATCTCAGCTTGCACTCTTGGGCCGAATTCCCAGTGAAAGCTATCAGAGCAAGATCAGCAACATTCCTCAACGGAAGCATGATCATCCAAAACAAAGCATCCGAGTCAAAGGACTCAGACTTCCTCAGCGGAAGATGGTTTTCCAACTCAAGCGACGAGTGAAGCTAAGCCTGAAGAGGCTTTCTAAATAATAGTCTGGGATACATAAGACCCTCAATTCCCATTCGCCTACTCAGAGGCACTCCAACAATTATTATTATATAAATTAGGCGTTAGAATCGGGCTTTACAGTCACTCATCTCTAAATTGCTCCAAGTCAAACACGCTTAACTATGAAACTCTTAGGTGATAAGCTACTCAAAAGTAGATGCATTTTGTTGATATAGATAGTACAAATTAATTCCTTTAAGTTATCCTTAACTTTACAATCTCACACTTGTACAAATTTCTATATCCCTCTCATATTGGTGTGTCCAAGCTATTACAAGATGTTTTAGATGTGGAGGAGTTCACATAGCTAGGTATTGTTCTTATGCTAAGAATGTGTGCTATAAGTGTGGCAAGCCAGGCCACATTTCTAGAGATTGTCATGTGAGACCTACTTAGGCAAGAAGTACACTGAATCCAACATGACCTACAATTGTAGGGAGAGTGTTTGCATTGATTGGTGTGGAGGCTTCCACTTCATCAAATCTCATTAAAAGGAAGGGTAAGGCGATTGGTAAGGATGTAATGTTTTTATTTGATTTTGGAGCTACACATTCTTTCATATTTGTTAAATGTTTACGAAGGTTAGGATTGTTTGTATCTATTTTGCATGTTGATTTATTTGATTCTACTCCTACTGTTATGTCTTTTGTGATATTAGAGATGTGTGTAAGATGCCCAATAAAGACTTTTGGTAGGAGGTACATGGTGAACTTGATTTGTTTGCCCATGGTAAAATTTGACATAATCTTAAGGATGGATTAATTATCTACCAATCGCTTTCTTATAGACAGTTCTTGGAAGGAGTTGGTGTTTCCCCTGGTAGAGAATGAGGTGTTGGTATCAACTAGGCAAGTTGAGAAATTTTTGAAGGAAGAAGCTTAGTGCTTCGTACTGTTTGTTGCTATGGGTGTGGTGTTTGAGAATTTGATGAATGAGATTGAAGTAGTTAGAGATTTCCTGAAAGTGTTTTTAGATGAGATGTCTGGGTTAGAGATGTCTATAGTTAATTTCTTTATAATATTTTCTTTTTGTGTTGAAGTGATAAAGATATTCAACTTTCTTGTCAAATTTATTTTGATGAAGTTACCTTAAATTAGGTCCCTCGATGTTTCGTATCTTTTCTTTTACTTTCACACGTAACGCCCATTGTTGAGATACTTTTTTTGTACATTCACAAAGTTGAATATCTCTATTATATTAACACAAAAAAATGACGTTACAAAAAAAATAATAATAACAAAGACTAAAAATTTTTTAAAAAAGATAAGTGTAGAGACTAAAAAATATATTTTAAACTATAGAGAATAAAAATGATTAATAAAAAAATATAAAGACTAAAATATCTATTTTAAAATATAAGAAATAAGAGATAAAATCAATAAAACTATAAAAATTAAAAAGAAATATATTTTCACATTAAATAAATAACATCATTTTAAACTAACCAATTAGCTTATCGATTAATTTTGTTAACCACTTTCAATTCCATCAATTATTTTATAGACTTCTAACTTGTATTTTATAACTTATAATCTTTTCAACTAACTTATAAACTTCTAATCAAATTATAAACTAATTTTCTCAAACACATCCTTAACCTATCATTTTATTTTTGTTTTTCTGGACGTTTGGAGAATGGAAAGGGAAACAGATCAACACGAAGTACTTTAATTTTTATTTATTATTTTTTTTTTTTGCAAAAATGAGATATGATAATTTGATTAAAAAGTTATTTATAGGAATATTAGAACTTCAATATATAGTAGATAATAATCAAATAATATACTATTGATAAATAGTAATTCTAATATATTATATTCACCTTTTTTTAGTGAAATTATAAACAGTATCTCAAACTTCAATTCAGCTGCAAATTCATAAATATGGAACATAAATTCTACACATGGGGGTGGACTAGACATTTGTCTATGAATTGAAAAAAGTGGCTGACTTTTTACCAAGAAAAGGAATTTCTTTCTCTTAATCCACCAAAATTTCCGGTTACTCTACTGCGCCATTTCCATTAAAATTGATTCGGTTCTCTCATTTGAATCAATCACACTTGTGAAAGATAATTCCTGTTAAAATCTTGACCCTTTCTCTTGATCCAATAAAGTTTCCAACCACTCTTTTTATCTGGTTTCCATTGAAAATTTTCTCATTTGAGCTAAGTAGACTTTTAGAAGCGATAATGTGATCTTCAATATTGTAATATAGGGGCAAAATAAATAAGAAAATTAAACTCTTTGTTTTAAAATAATAAAACTGAGACACTATGTGTTTCTATGTATTTTATATAAATAAAATATAAAATATACAATAATTAAAATGGAAGATAAATGAAGAAATATCAAAAGTAAAATTAAAAAATGTTAAGAGGAAAAAGTAATGATATGTAATTATTAAGAAAGACTCGTGATGGTTAATTTAAGATGATAGTCTAATAGCACGTGAAAATTAAATTTAAGTTAAAATCATTCGTGTAATTAAATAAACTGAGTAATTAAAAGAGATGATTATGATAATAAAGAATAAAATTAACTATTAAAAAGTGTAGATTGTATCTTCTTTATAGATTGTTATTTGTTATATATATATTATTGAAATATCTCTAATATTTTTTTAATTAAATAACATGAATTAGCAAATAAATAAGAAAAATCAATGTTATTTTAAATGTTATTAATTTGTTAGTAAAAAGTGATTCAAAATAATTAATATACACCATTTAGTGTATGTTTAGAGAATGTAAAACGGATAATTTCCAACCAGCTCACATGTAACGGTTCACAAGGACTGATTAATTTCTTCTTAATTTGAGCAATTAATATAGAAAAGTTGCATGTTTTTGGAGGTTGACTATTTTTTTTTTATAATTTTTTTATGGATTTAATGCCCCAAAATTAGAATCAGGAACTTACTTATGTATACATGTAGAACATAATTTTTGTTGAATGTCATTGATTTTATAAGCACCATATCGACTCTATGTTCTAGAACAAATTTTATAACTACTTAATTTGGAGATCAATTAATCTCTGAGTAACAAATAATAACACCAGCACATTCTATGCATAATTTCTCATGAAAATAAAAACGATATTTCCAACTCCAATTTCAGCGATAAATATAAAATGAATCTAGCTTAACTAGTTGAATAGAATGTGTAAGTGTTGTAAATCTCTTGGTACAAGTTCAATTCCCACATATAATGAAAAAAATAATTCAGCCGCAAATTCATAAATGTGGAACATAAATCCTACACATGGGGCATGATCCTTGTTGGACTAGCCATTTGTCTATGCAGGCTAAGTGAAAATAGTGGCCACATTTTGGAAGTTTCTTCACAAATTCTTCATCCTCAAAATCCTGCAGAATATAATTTTAAGACAATGGGGTCAATTTCGTTGTGTATGAGTATGACAAGGTTTATGTGGGTATGTGTATGTTATTTGGAATTTACATTTGTAGGTCCAATTCAAGATTTTATTATGGTTCTAAACTTCATGCATTTTCACAGGCTCAGAAAATTTCTCACCTGCAAGCAAATTGAGCAGCATGGTTCATTGTATGATTTCAACATCTTACAGGAACTGAATTGTTGAACAGGAAGCTTTTGAATGATATTCCAAGCCATCCCTTTTGCTGTGATTCCTCTGACAATGTCATTATAAATGTCTGAGTCTTCTCTATAAGTTGTTGCATGTGCATTGATCTGATAAAGTAATTTCATCAAACTTTGAAACCAAGAACTCTAATGGTCTAGGGGCTACTGATTTGACATTTATATAAGTTTTGTACACTTATACTCACATGACATTGATAGGCTCGTGCAACAGCTGGACATATCCATTCCATAAATAGCTTTCCATTTAATAAACTCCTCAATAGGGCAATCTGCAAATCAACATCAAAATGAAGAAGTCAGAAATGAAGAATGTCATTGCTAGTTGGCTCAAGCCTAAAAAATTGATTCTATGATTTTAGTATGATATATATTAGGATTTTTTAATGTATGTTACTATTTTTAGAATTCGTTGAGGAACCCTTTTTTTATCTTCATTTCATGTTTCATAAATAAATTGCTTAAGTATCACTTTATACTTTATTTTGACTTCTTTTCATGTATCACTTTATGCTTAAATGTGACTTTCTAAAAAAAAACAATTATCATAACTTTTTGAAAATATCTTTGGATCTAATGTTTGCTTAAACAAACAATGTAACTAACTTTATCTCAAACCTAACTCTTGAATCAGTGTTTTGTAGAAGTAGAACCAAATAGAAAAGAGACTCAGAGTCCTATGATTAGACTAGTTAGTGACCAATAGAACAAATTGAAAGTGAGTTTAGCTACTAGCCATTCTTAAAAAATGTGATCATATATTTTTTTTTAATTCATGGAAGTAAAATTAGAGTTTACAATACTCACACATTTTGTTTAACTAACCGAGTTTGACCCTTTTGATCATGAGTCTATCTTATTGCCAAACCAAGAATTTGAAGTATTATACCTTAGACAGTGGCTCATCATCAGCAGCAAAATTTAGCAATTCTAGTGCTGCAATGGCCCCTGTGACAGCTCCTTTGCAAGCCCCATCAAGAAAACCAGCTTCTGTTGTATGGCCTTTGATGGCTCCTGAAATTATCCCCATTATAGACCCTCCTGTGTGCCAAACATCAAATATTACTTTTGACACCATAATATGGATAATTCCCTATTTTGATAAAGCTTGAGGGAGACCAAGAAGGGTACTAGAGGAAGTGTTAAGAGGGATCTTATGGTGAATAATATCTCTGCTAATTTGTTCTTTAATTAAAAGCATGTTCGGATACAAGTTACAAGTACTTTTAAGAGTTCCTCCATTGGAAAAATCTCTTTATTTTTGGTAGAGAAACTACGAAAAACTTTTTAGAACTTGTATCCAAACAGACTCTAAGTTCAGTGATGGAATAAAACTTTTGTTGCCATTTTAATAAAGGTAGCAAGGATCAATGCTAAGCAATATTTTTACCTTATAAATTCAGGATGTAATTAAGGATGATATAACAATGATTTAGGCCTCACTTACATAGCTAAACTATGAAATGTGCAGCATATAACATAACAATGTGTTTGACTGTTTGTTAGCCACTGTGCAGTGAATCAGTAATTTCTCATGACAAAGGCTAGGATAGCTATTCAACAAATTACCTAGTGCCAGAAAGCAAGTAATTTGAGCAAAAACAATTCTCTCTACAACTCTCATGAAAAGATCAATTGCATAACCGCCACTGCCAGCCAAAATCCACATAGATAAAACTTCCTTACACCTTGTTGCTTTCAGTGTCTCAGAAAACCACTTGGCCATAGTTGAAGAAAGGATGAGACTGAGAAATGAGAATATACACTTCAAACTGAGAAGATAATGCTAGTAGCTAGAGGGAGTGAAGCCACGTTAACTAGCTTTTCTAAAAATACATATCTGCTTCCAATGAATTTGAGGACTATATATAGTATCTAAGTGCAAAGTGTTGGTTCACATTTATTCCCCTTCATGAGTAGATGGAACAGCCACATGTTTTATGGCAAAAAGAAAATGATTAATGCAGGGAGCACTGAAAAGGGTGAACCTTTGTATTCAGATCAAGGCCACATGCCCCTCAGTGAAGAGGGAGAGAATGTTGGTCCAAAGTGTGAGTGAAAGTGAGAATATCTTGGAAGGATACTCCAACAAGTTAATTTCTAAATAATAAGAAAAATAATATATGAAAAAATAGTCCATGTGGGATGCAAGGTGTCTGCATTTTAGAGCTCTTTGTTATAAGATTTAAGTTAATGACATAGATTTTCTGCTTTGAGGGCATAGGAAACCCTGTGCTTCAGATTTCTAGAACTGTATAATTAGATCCTGTGTGTTTGAATTCACGTTGGACACATGATCTAAAATTACACAGTTGGTTTCAGATAAATATGTTCACATGTTTGATTTTACTTTAGAATCGCATAAAGTTGAAGTTAAAACTACTTAAAATAGTTTATACATTATATAAAAAATAAAAATAAAAGTTATAGTGGGTTTTACTGTTAACTTATTTTTAAAATAATTATTCAAACATAACTCATACTCCTTCAAACACACACCTCAAATAATATGAAGAATTGATATACATAGTAGTTAGGTATATTGTAAATTACATATTATAAATTTAATGAAAAATTCATGTTCGATTTTCAATGAGTATAAAAACTTGTTAGACAAGCGACAATTACATCACCGTAAGTGATATTAATCTTTAATCTAATGAGTTGGAAGATTTTTATGAAAAAAAAAAACCTCAAATTAATCCTCAACTCAAACAATGAATTAGGTCCATTGGAATTTTCTTGGACTTGCTTGGTGTAAGCTTGCAACAGAAAGATAAACTATAGGACAAAACATATGTATAATTCTTTATGTATGATTATCGATTGATATTGTTCTCAATTAGAGTTTAAATTTTATCTTAATAATATATATAAATATATATAATAATAAGACTTGCATTAATACAAGTGTATACCACCGAATTAAAACTCTAATTTTGATCGGAGATAAGTTCAACCACACTTAAGAGTACCCATCATGGTTTACGCACTGAATTCTTGTTTTTGGATTCCAATTTGGTTGATATGTTTAACTAAAAAGATCCCTATCCAATAATTATTTTTCAATATTATCATGAATTCTAAATCATGTTGTGGAATGAAGTTTGGTCGGTATTTCAACCCCAAGTTATCACTAACTGCAAAAATTGTGATTCAAATTCAAACTATTGTTACATTATTGTGATTATGTTGTTACCAATTAAATCAATAGCAGTTCTAGCAGACCAAATGTCACGTAGAGATCACGTGTGTAAATCAACTATACCATGAAATTGATTTATATAACTACCATGAAATTAATGTAATTTATAAATAAAAAAAATATCACATGAAGAAGTTAACTAATGCATTGGTTGGAATAAGATATTTTTCTGTTTCCAATTGACATTCATTCATTCCTTTCTATATGGGAAAAGGAAACAATGAATTTTCAGTGCCTAATTATGTAGGCAGTTTGAACACTTACTACCATAGAAATACAGATTGGCAAAACAAGGTGCTGGAAAATATGGTTCCTCCTTTATATCGAAGAAAAGGAAAGGTGGTTCACAGTGTAGAATCAATAAAGAATGAGTGATTCAATTGCATTAAATGATGGGTAGATCCGTAGATAGTATATAGTTTGGTAATTTTTTAGCCTACTAAAGTATGTTTCATTCACATGTAATGTTTTTTAAGCATAGTGATTGGGGAAGAAGTTGGACTACAAAATGATTTAAGTTTGATTCTCCTCATGTCTTTGTTATATTTATTATGATAAATAAAAAAAATTCACATGTAATTTCTCCCATATATATGCTTCCAACTTATTTTATTTGCTCCAAATATCTCTTCAGTTTACGTACCTACCTTCAATTTATTTGATCTGCAAACACCAATGCAGACAAGGATTTTGGTCGGATATCAATGAATGAAATAAGATTTTTTATTGTTTACTTAATTATATTTGAATTAAATAAGTTTTTAGTTTTTCAATTTTAAATTTGTTTTTTTGTCAACTTTTAGTTTTTTATTAATTTCTCATCACATAAATTAATCTCCGAGCTAAATCTTATTTATTAAGTGATGATAGATGCTAATAAGTTATGATTGACCCAACTATTAATATTTAACTAGATGACTATTAAATAGATATCAAATCACATAATTATAATTTTTTTCTCTCGTGATCATAAGAGTAAATAATTGTTTTCATAACGCCTTTTATTTTTAAAAAATAAATTTTGATCATGACCTAATTGAAAAATTATATATAAATACAATATTATTTAACATTTAAGAAGAGTCATTGAACATCAATGTGTACTTATTTTTTATATTTCTTTTCTTCTTAAAAGATATTTATGTCATTTTATATGATTATTATTTTCTTTTATTTTGCATAAATCAAACACAGAAAAAACAGTTTTATAGATTCTTTCTTATCCAACAATTTAAAAGTTATTTTTTTTATTTTATAATTTTTATAATATTGTTAATATATGTCAAATAGATTTCCATCTATATATTATATTTATAGTGACAATTTTTTATATGAATAAAAATGATGGTTCTTGTAATATTTCCCCTTTCTTTTCTTATTTTTTTTTATTCTCTAAACTAATTAAGCATATCATTTTTTTAATCTAAAACACAATGTTATTACTACTTATATATGTTGATGTTTTAACAATTTCTTTTTCAAAACTATTTATGTTTTATAAATTCAAATTACTTATACCCTTATTTAAAAATCACTATATACAATATTCCTAAAAATTTGATTACTATACAATATAATTTATCACAAGTAATGAAAAGTTAAATAAGGTGTTTTAGTCTAAAAAAATCATTACTTCCATATTAATTTTTTCAAAAAAATATTTGAATGATCCTTAAAATATGAATAAATATGGAACGGAGGTACTATTATGAAAGAATAACATTGGTAAAATAATGCCACAATGTTTTTAAAAGAGAGATTAAACAATAAACATAAAAGACAAATTAAAAGAAGATAAAATAAAAATAAAGTTAGAGGAATTATTTTATAAGAAATTCTTAACCAATATATTAAGGGTTTTGATTAAAAATTCAAAATCAAAGTTTTATAAAAAGGTATAATTATTTTTTAATTATTTCATAAAATAATTATTTCTAAAAATTAGTATTTGTTTAGAAAACATACATTAAGCCCTAAGCATAAATTCCCCTATAATAATATGTAACCCTCTATCTGTCTATGGGTTCCCTCTGGGACAGGCAAGTTTAAATGTGAGACTGAATCATAGCTTCAAAAAAAACAACAAAAGCTTTTTATCATTTATTGCACAACAGAATATATATCAACCAATTATAGAAATTTGAAAGTGAATACACTCAAAGTTGATTAAGAGAAGGAATATGAAGACTAGTAATATTTTTTTTTTGAAGATTTAGGTTACAAAGTGTTACTATATCTGACAACTCCAATATCTCCTTTAACAAATGGAGCCAACGATGAAGACATGCATGAAGTGTACACGTTCTTTTATCTGCAATGTTCTAGATCTCCACGTTCTCTTATCTGCAATGTTTGTATATGGATGTAAAGAATTTTATTGGAGAGGTAGAAAAGAAAATTATGTTTGGTTCACAAAATGATAAGAGATAAAAGAAAATATATCCTATTGCTATATTTAGAGAATACAGGTAAATAGTCATTAAGTTAAGCATAATTCATATAAAAAACCAATCATATCTTTTAATAATGTCATGTCAGTTTTTTATTTAATAAAATAAGCAACTTTAAAAGATATGATTGGTTGTCCGTATAAAAAACTTTGAAACAATTATTATAAGGGACCAAAATAGGTTTTTAGCCAAAAATTGTCATCCACGTGGCATCCACGTGGCATCCACGTATGCATCTACGTGGCAAAAAGTTAACTCCGTTTAAATAATTTGGACGGAAGTCCCACATTGAAACCAATTAATTAATTTGGGACTAAATTGAAACCAATTAATTAGTTTGTGACCAAATTGAAACAAAAAATAAAAGTGGGACTAAATTGAAACAAACAATTAATATAAGGGACCAAAATAGGATTTTAGCCTATATTATGAGCTATTGAGTAGAGTAATTTTACTATGGGTTACTCTTAAAGTAATTTGATCTATCTTCATATATATATATATATATATATATATAGAGAGAGAGAGAGAGAGAGAGATTTATTTACTAAAAAAGTAAGTCTTGTAAGACTTACTCTATTCAATAACTCAAATTCTGCATGAAATTTTAACAATTCAATCGTTGAATTAAAAGTTTTCAATATATAGACAAAATCTGCAAATTTTGAAAATTATTTGATATTTTGTTTTATTAATTTAAATCAACGTATAAAATATTTTTATGATTATCCGTCAATTTAAATTAATGAAACGAAGTATCAAATAATTTTCAAATTTTTAAAAATTTGCAAACTTGATTTATATATTAAGAACTTTTAATTTAACAGTTAGATCGTTAAAATTTAATATAAAATATGAGTTATTGAGTAGAATAAATCTATTAAAACTTATTATTAGTGTAAGTAGATTTCTCCTCATATATATATATATATAATAAGTTAATTTATTGGGTTTTATAATTACAATAATAGTCATGTATATATAAAAATAATTTATGATTATTGATATAGTGTGTTGAAATAATAATTCAATTTTATTTAGTAAAATTTAAGAAGTGTTACTGCAAAAAAAATTATGGTATAGTGATACATACCCTATAATAACACATATATTTGTCATTATAAGTTATATTTACTTACATTATAAATACAACATATGTTG